AACAAAAAACAAAGTTGTTATGTTTCTAGACACACAACAGACTGGAAACAATAGAAACCGTCCGATCCGAGCGACTTGCGTTCTTGAAAATCGAGTCTTATCGCCCTTGCGTTTCCGAGCAAAAAAACGATGAGGCCAAAAACGACCGATTTTCGCCCAATCTTCTATGAATTTTTCATAATTTAGCTAATTCAGTCCAGCGGTTAGATAAGGGTATTTATTAGAGACGCCCGGAGAACCAAAATTTTGGACGTGAATCACTCCGGTGACTAAAAATCGGCGAAAATGGCCAAGGGGGTGAGGGACTGCATTTCAAAAAAATATTTTATATATAGGGTATATAATCATTATACATTTATTTTGTTCGAACATTACTATCTGATAATGTGGAAAAGACTTATTGCAGGTCTATCTATTCAACTTATTTCATTGAATTATCTTAATATTAAGTTTAGCTAACCGTTCATAGAACCTGATTCGATGACGTGGTAGCACTCAAATGGTACATACATATTTCGTGGTCGATGATCAGAACGCTCAATACGCCATGTGGTTTCAGAGATACTGTGTTATATAATGGTGGAAACATTGAAACAAACCATTACGGTTTATTAATTGCGTACTATATACCTCCGCATATAAACCCCAAACCATCACCACCACACATATACATACAACTGTCATGTTTGTCATTTACAGGACATTTAGAACTGGTCAAAATGGTGACGAAAATGATGCCCAAACTCGTGACCTCTAGGGATAACAAAGGTGAGAATATCACACGATAAAATAAAATAGACAAATATTGAAAATAACCATCAACTTTATTCTAAGACTTTTATGTATTGCAGGTCAAACACCTTTACACTATGCAGCACGGAGTGGCCGACTGCCATGCATTAAATTTATGGCCGATCACGGCGTTTTGAATCCGCGAAGTCTGCGCAGTCTTGCACGTGCCACACCCTTACATGCAGCATGTGTTGGGGGTAACTTGGAAACAGTTAAATGGATTGTGGGTAAAATGGGATTGCAGATGATGAAAGATAAAATGGACGGTGGGATAACCCCTCTACATATTGTAGCAGGTGAGAATTAAGTCAAATGTTATATTGTAAACAAAAACATAGTTATACTAATTAATAAACCGGAACCTCGAACCTCGAGTCGGAATACATCGTCATCACTCTACATGATTTTCCGTAAACTATTCAACCACGACACACACACCCAATCATTCTCGATGCATAATTTGCAGCATATTAGACGTGCTTTTTTAACTTTAGTTAGCAATTGTTTTCAATTTTCTACGAAAAAGCGGGGCAAAAACATAATTGTTGGTTAGTACCCAAATGTTGTGATTCCAACCCATTTGAAATAATTGTGATTACAAACATGACATCTTTTGTATTTTAGGTCGAGGTCACGCAAACTGCTTGAAATGGATGCTGCATCAACAGCCATCTCCTGAGTTCCACGACGTCCCCGATTCAAATGGAAGGACGCCATCATATTATGCGGCAGAGATGGGAAAGGCACAGACTCTCTCTTTGCTCATCGTTGGTGGCGTAGACATGCATGCCACTGACAAGGTTAGGGACTCACTGGCGTAATAAGACCACTAAACAATCTTTTAATGCTCTGAGACCTAATTCATTGTCTCATTGAAAGACATGTAATTTGCATAAATACAGAATTTAACACGTACCAAATGAAGTTGATTAGAAGTTGCCAATAACGCAATAATGTTAGGGCGCATAACATTTCACCGAAATACATTGAACAGTATTTCAAGTTTAAATCACGTTTCGACACAGCTTCTCTACAAACAAAATGTTGTCTGTGTTATCCCTTCAAACGTGGAAACACGCACTTTTATTTACAGGTGTAAAATTTTTACGTAACTTACAAAATGTAGGGTATTTTTGTGAACTAAACAATCCAAATTATAGCATTTTTCATTTTTTTTATGTTTTTCTAATTTTATTTTATATCTTCACTATTACGTCACTTAGTTGGGTAACACGCCGTACACTATAGCAGTGCAGGGAAGCGATCAAGAATGTTCCAATTTAGCTCTGTCACTAACTGGAGGAAAGTTCATTGACCCCAAATTCGTGAAAATAGCGACTGAAAAAAGTAAGTTATTAGAAAGACGATAATATAGAAAGCATACTGGGAACGATTTTAACCAAATATTTACGGTCGACATTTTTGCGTAAACAACCTTTATAAATAGAGTCAAGTTTGAGACGGATGTTTCTGATATGCCCTTTCAGAAAACTCGTTACATAGAACACAGTAGTAATGATTTCAACGGTATGCCAGATAGGAAGGAGTGAGGAGTTCACCATATCTGTATTACAATGGAAACAAACATACATACCTGATCTTTTTAAATTTAAAAATACTTACTGAAATGTGTTGCATGATGTTTTCAGATCGTGACAGGTCGATCGTCAGTCCTGTTATTATGATGAAAGCGATGGACGACGAAACCATTAAGAGATTCAAATCACTGGATGGTATCAGGGTAAGAATTGATGAGTGGAAATATTTGCATTATAAGGTGTTCAGGTTCATGACTATGGTATCATTACGTCATTTGTGAACAAACAAGACCGTTATAGACCCTAAAGAAAACCATGTTTGCCACCATATGTTTGGCATAATCTTGGGACATGTTATAAATACGGCAAAAACCACTTGTTATAAAATAATGTCACGTGCACAATTCAGCGTGGTAAGGTAACAATCTAACAAAAATCTAACGATGTAATGCTATTTCCCGAAACACAGGATTCCAGGCGGAAAAGGAAAAAAGGTTTCTTCAAATCCAGGACGTGGGGTCGAGAACAAAAGAAAAACGAGAAAACAGAGGGTAAAAAGAAGAGTGCCAGTATGGGACAATCAATTGGAAAACATAAAAACACAGCACCGAAAGTTGGAAAAAAGAGCACAGGAACGAGTACGACACAAACGGACTCATCATTACGGCCACTAGCACAGCTATTCCAACCAACGAATAGTAAGTTTTCTTCTTTGTGTTTCTACATCGACAGTGGGCGTCACGATTGTGCCAAATACGATAGGAATTTAGTTTTTCCTTCGTTATTTGTGTACATAACTTTTGTTATTCCGTTTTAATAATTCATTAAATAAAATTTCATCGAACTGTACCCACAAATGTTTTTTTTTCTAAAAGTAAACGTAAAGGTAACCTGTATAGTACTTAGTATATAGTATCGATAATAAACAATTACAATAGTCATGTATTGTCATGGAAACATTCAAATAACTTTGAATGTGGATTCTCTTGCGGAAATAGTTTTGCAGATGTTTGTAGATTTTCGGAAACTGGAAATGTCGGTAGTTTTGTAAAGGGTCGATATTTGTGACTAGGTAATGTTTAATTAATTCATGTCATTG